CCTTCTTGCATTCCACCCTTAGTTGCATTGTTTCCAAACGTTTTTTTTTTTTGTAAAACATAATTAAATACGTTATAATGACGTATTTCATGAGTTATTCTCCTAATGTGACTGTTTATCAAGTTATTGTAGCAAAAGAATTCCTCTCATTATAAATTTTTATTGTTTATCATTGTTTCAAAAAGTTAGTTTTACAATGTAAATTTTTTGTGATTTTGAAAGTAACATTTAATTAAAAACATTTTGATACATGTTTAATTGAAAAATGTTTAATTTTTACAATTTCTACACAAATCATAATAGACTTTAAAACGCTGTTTACCGAAAGCGCTCGTTTCGCAAAAACAACATCCGAAAGTGCTAATTTCGTATGTAGCAAAAAAGCTCCATTATAAAATTCAATTTCGCAAGTTTGAATATTTGCGAAATGAAGGTCGAGGGTTTTAAATGTTTTGTTTATTTCGGTACGATAAAATTAATTTTTTTGATATCATTATCCTTTCGGATGAATATTTTTTCCGGAATTTTACAAAAACCTTTCGGTCAACAACCATATTATTATTATTATTATTGTTATTATTGCTATTGCTATTATTGCTATTATTATTATTATTATTATTATTATTATTATTATTATTGCTATTATTATTATTCAGTGATAAAAACAAAACAAAAAATAAATACAATAAAACTGTTTAAAGTTTGATGAAGAGGTACTACACCAGGCTCTATGCTGACGAAAATAAAAAACACAGAAGCTACAGACAAAGCACCAATTCTGTCTCTAAAAGTTACTTTGTTATATTGTTTTTGAAAGCATGGATAGATGCGTTCACTACTGCTTGGGAAAGCGCATTCCATGGGACAACAACTCTATTTGAAAAAAAGTTTTGTCGATCTTCACAATTTCGTGCAAGCTGGCGTTCTAGTTTTTGATTATGCCCTCTCAAAATATACTTGGCTTTACTGTTTGAAAGTTTTTGCGGAACGAAAAAACTGACAAGTTCGAGTTGACGCGTGGTTTTAAATTGTTCGATTTGGTCTGCTTTTTTACGGCGTTCTTCAAGTATTGTTAGACCGAGCTGTTGGAGTCGATTTTTATAAGACAGGTGTTTAATAGATGATATTGTTTTTGTTGCTCGATGATGGACTTGTTCGAGAATAGCAATGTCGGACTTTAAATGCGGTGACCAGGCTTGAACAGCAAACTCGAGGTGGAGGCGAATGTAAATAAGATGTGCGCTATAATTAAAAACTGCGACTCCTGAATGTTTTTTTAAATCGCCCTAGCATTCTGTTCGCAATTGATGCAGCTGACTCTACTTGTGGTCTCACTTTAAGGTCTTTGGAGACCGTCACACTAAGGTCTCGTTCGACTAGAGTCTTTTCGAGTGGATAACGCGTGTTGTCAATGTTGGCCATTAAGTAATTGTGCGTCATCTTGTTACAAGTGCGGCCAACATGCATTACTTTGCATTTCTCAATGTTGAAATGCATAAGCCAAATATGTGACCATTCCACTGCTCTGTCAAAGTCGGCGTGGAGAGTGATGCTATCCGACTCGTTTTTAATTATGCCAATAATTTTACTGTCGTCAGCATACAGTTTCATATGATGACTAATTCTGTCCAGCAGAAGAGCAATGAGCCCAAGACCGAGTCTTGAGGCACGCCACTAGTGACCGTTTGCAATTCAGATGTGATGCTATTGATGACCACTCGTTGACTTCGGTCGCGTAAATAAGCTGAGATTCAATCTAACAGCGTGCCTTGAATACCGTAGGCTCTTAGCTTATGAAGAAGGCGTTTGTGCGGCACTTTGTCAAACACCTTTGCAAAGTCTTGTATATGACGTCTACTGCATGGCTGCGATGAATGGCTTCTGTCATAATATCCCGAGTTTCTAGCAGGTTTGAGACGCAACCCTTGCGATAAACAAATCCATGTTGCTTTGGAGTAATTAAATCATTAGCAACACAGTGTTCCATTATACTTGTTTTAAGAATACTTTTTATTATTTTGCATAAAATGGATGTAAGCGAGATGGGCTGGTAGTTATTTTACTCCCCTTCTTGAAAATTGGTGTTACATTCGATTTTCTCCACAAGTCGGGAACTACACCAGTCGCGAACGAGCACTTATAGATAAGTGAAAGCGGTTTGGCGAAGCTAGTTGCACATTTACTAAAGACCCGTGGATGCAAGCCATCGTAGCTGGTTGATTTTCTTTCATCAAGGTGGTAGAGGCACTTTTGTACTACATCGATAGAAAATAATGAGCATATATTATTCAATAATGAGCATATATCGCCGGTTTCGGTAGTGATGTTGCTATTAGCTGTTTCTAGCGATGTAATAGTGTTCCTAACGCTCTGTTTGCTTTGTACATGTGCATTTAGGCGTTTAGGGTTGTTTTTAAACTCACTGGCGAGTTTTTCTTTGTAATTAAGCCTGGCAGATTACACAATTTTAGTAATGTTTTTGCATGCGGTGCGATATGATTCTTTGAGTAATTGGTGCGCATCGCGACCTACATTAATAAACTTGGCTCAAGAGGCGCGTTTAGCTTTGACCACCATAATAAGATCTGGTGTTACCCATTGCTCCTGTTTTTCAGTGAAAAGAGTAGTTGTTGATGGGATGTATAGATTGATAGCTTCATTATACACGTTTACTAGGAGCTGGTAGCTATCTTTTGCATTTAGACCTACGAATTCTGTTTCCCAATCAACAGCTGCAAAGTCCGAGGATATTGCTGCGTAGTTTGCTCGGCTCCAAATAAGTCGAGGTCGTAATGGCAAAGTAGGCAAGTTGTCAGGGCCTACAACAGCGAGTTGACCTTCAATGAAGCAGTGTGGCTGGCCCATTGTAGTGTTACCGAGAGAACCACCTTGTTTGATGAAGATGACACGGTCTGGCTCGTTTGTTATGATCAGATCAAGTCTGCTAGTGGGCTCGACGTGTCAACTATTACGATACGTTGGGAATGTGACAAGCTGAGTTAGGTGACATTCATCAAAGCACTTTTGAAACCTGATATCGCCTTAACTCTTATCTCTCACGTGGGTAACTGTTGCAATGCCACCATTAACTTCAATAGACTTATAACATGTATGGCTGAAATTGAAATCTCCATATAGTAGCATTGTCGAGCAGTTTATATTAGGCAGTATCTGCCTTGCGGCCGTGATCGATGTAATACACTGAGTTAGAACCTAATCATTAAGGTCGTGAGAACGATATATGCAGCGGAGGAGAAACGATTCTTCACTCATTTTTATTTTTCGCCAAATTAGCTCAACTGATGTTGAGTTGAGTAGAATTAACTTCATTGACTATAATATTGTCTTTTGTGTAAATGGCAACTCCACCACCCCTATTTTCTCTGTCTTTGCGATGAGGTTGGTAACCGGGTATGGCAACGTCTGAGAAATCTGTGAACCAAGTTTCCGCAAAAAATGACTTGTGGCCAACTAGAATTAGGCAGAGCAGAGAGTCTGGCCAACAGCTCTTGGCGTTTGTCATTATTGAGTGAGCATGGGTTGTTTGCCAAGTAGCGTAGTGGCTAGGTGGAACAGTGGAAGAGTTCGGCTGAATTGATTTTATTTTTGCTTTAGATATCGGTCTAGGACGTCTAGATGGCAGTAAAGATTTCTGATTTAGGAGCGGCTGTTCGACTGGCGTAGTCAACCAGGGCTCTGGCTGGGGATGCAAACACATAGCACTGATTGGACGTTGATTCGATGACATTGATGCGACATGTCCTTTGATGTATAACATTCCGAAACGGTTATTCTAGAATGTTAGCAGCAGCAAGTTCGTCATTTAGCTTCTTGAGCTGGGTGCGAGTGGCGTTAAACTCAGTTTGTTGCTCTGGCGTTCGGTCTTCGCGGACGTAGACACCCTTGTCTGTCTCTTGCGTGTGGTGGGCGCATGTTTTGAGTATTTAAGTTCGAGATGAAAGATTAGATAGTGAGACCTGGATAATGTTCGAGTTTGATATCTTTACTTTGTTTTTACTTGTTTTGATGCGGTTAACACGTACAATACCAGTAGTAACCTTCAATCCCGTTTCCAAGATAAATTACAAACCCTTAGTTCTAATTTTCATTTGTAAACCTTTTGTTTCAACTTGTCGAAGTCGAGCAGTGTAAAATTCATATTAAATGTTGCTGATAAGTTATATCATATTCAAAATCAAAAAAACCCAATTTATCTTATTCCAAAAATACGTGAACTAAAATTGAGTAAAGTTAAGACCTCAATATTTTGATTAACTAAGTTTAAAAAACAGAAGTCATTACGTTAGCAAAGAATAACTTGAATGAACTACATTATCTATAACCATATTAATTTCCAAAGTAAAGAAAAAAAAAAAAAATAATAAAACCATGTTTATAGATAAGTTCTTTTTAAAGAAGATTAAAAAAGTGGTAGAGAAAAAGTTTCGACAGGAAAAATATTCCGTAACTGAAAGGTCGAAAAAAGAAGTTCAAAGCAAAAGAAAACTGGGCGCAAAACACATAAAGCTCTAAATTTAGCTTTCGCAAGATGTGCAAATGTAGTTTGTCAGAAATAAAAACAAAGACCAAGATGATTAAGATATAGTTTTAATAGACTTTTATTCAAAGTATCTACACTTTTTTTAAAAATACTTGAATTTTTTTTAAAAAATAGTTTAATGAGTGTAGAGAATGGTTTTGCAATACAAATAAACACTAACCTTAACAATAAACATTAACTACCTAACTGTCCGAAGAACTCTATCTAAAACTTTCGAAACAAATTTCAATGCTTTAAAATCGAAAGTTACGTTTATAAATATAAACATACAAATTAAGTTAGTTCCATTTTTACTCAACAATTGTTGAATCAATCAAGATTACATCATTTGTATGTTTACCACTCCATATTAACAATACTACACATGTCGTCATACCTATTTTGTTTAATAACAAAATTATTTATTACTTATAAAATCACAAGAAAAAAAACAAACTAATATAGTAAAATTAATTAATAAAAAATATAATTAAATAATATAACTAAACTCGTAGTTATTACATTTAGTTAAATTGAAAGAAAACTTGCGCCAACAAAGGAACCATTTTTTTCTTTCTTTCATTACAGTTAAAATAAAATAAAACTCTTGGGCTACTTGGTCTCACACAAGAATTAAGGTATTTATAAAAAAGATATTAAAAAATAAAATACTAAGTAGATTTAAGTTCCGCTTCAGCTGTTGATATCTTGTCGGTGTGTTCAGTTAGTTCATGTAACTTTAGCCTTTTTTTTACTGAATATCCTATTTTGCAATATGCACAATTGTACGGTTTCTCGCCCGTGTGCGTGAGTACGTGTTTTTTTAATCGCGAGTTCTCAATACATTCGTAATCACAGTAAGAGCACTTGAACGGTTTTTCACCAGTGTGAGTTCTTATATGTCGCACTAAATGGGTTTTCTTCATGGTTTTATAATTACACAAACTACATTGATATGGTCTCACGCCGGTATGAGTTTGCTCATGATATTGTAAATTTTTCTTGTGCGCACAAATAAATTCACAAAAGAAACATTTGAAAGGTTTTTCTCCAGTATGAACTCGTTCATGCGATTTTATACGGCTATTTTGTATTGATTGATAATCACAGAATGAGCATTTGAATGGTTTGTCACCAGTATGAGTTCTTTCATGCATTTTTAAAGTGGTTTTTTTTGCGAATTGATGACCGCAATAAGTACATTTAAATGGTTTTTTACCAGTGTGGATTTGTTCATGCGATGTTAGTTGACATTTGCTAGCACATTTATAATCGCAGTTAGTACATTTAAATGGTTTCTCACCGGTGTGAATTCGCTCATGTATCATTAACCTCGTTTTCCAAGCACTTCTATAGTCACAGTATGTACATTTAAATGGTTTCTCACCGGTGTGTGTTCGTTCATGCAGTGTTAATCTTGTTTTCCAAGCACATGTATAATCACAGAACCTACATTTTAATGGTTCTTCACCATTGTGAGTAAGTTCGTGTATCGTTAAATTTGTTTTTCTTGCAAACTTGTAATCACAATATTTACATTTAAATGGTTCATCAGATGTACCATATAAAAAAGCTTGGTTAGTATTATTTGCTGTAAAAAAACCATTGTTAACGTTGAGAATGTTTGATGAAACTTTCAAATTATCCATTATAGTTCCTTTTTTACAACGCCTCAAATGTGAATTGAGATAATCATCGCTGGTAAAACATATTCCACAATTCTTGCAAACGTGATTAACTAAAAGAAAACATAGGTGATAAAAAAACTTTTTTACGCGCGCACGCGCGCGCATGTTTATATATATATAAATATATATATATATAAATATATATATATATATATATATATATATATATATATATATATATATATATATATATATATATGTATATATAAATATATATAAATATATATATATATATATATATATATATAAATATATATATATATATATATATATATATATATATATAAATATATATATATATATAAATATATATATATATATATATATATATATATATATATATATATATATATATATATATAAATATATATATATATATATATATTTATATAAATATATATTTATATATATATATATGTTTAACTCTAACTCTAAACAGAATGTTGGAAGGCCAAATTTTCAAGAGCAATACAAAAATTCAAATACTTCTAATCTGTCATCATTTGTAGAAGGCATGAGCTGGTTAGTTTTTGAGAACTTTGGGTTTACAAAAAACTATCTTGAATGGTGTCAAGTTAGTTGTAAGGAATGGGGGAAATACAGCACTTACAGAAGATTAAAGACTGGGTTTATAAACTACATGTAGTAAATGATCCTGCTGAAAGAGCGCTAAAACTTATTCAAGACTACTTGAAGTGTGCATAAATGAAGCGTTGAAGCAAGATATTCTTCTGTCAATAGCAGAGCATAGAGCAAAATATTCAGTTAGTATCAAAAAAAATTTGATTAACTTTTGAAACAACATTTTAACTAACCATATTGTATAATATTGAAGTGATAAAGTGGTTGATTATGTTTTTGAGTCTGTATTTGTGATTCGAATGTTTTTAATAAAAAGAAGAAGCAATAATTGAAAGAAAATAAATTGTTAGATTTTCAAACAATATTTATAAATAAAAATTTTATAATATTTTGATGGAACAACTAGATGTGATTGTTTACTAAAAATTTTAGTAGTAGCGTAAAATAAGGAGATTTCAAGAAAAGTCTAAAAACTTTAACGCACTGGAGGAGGTAGTAACTAAATAAAAATTAAAATGATTTTTTCTATGCAACAGAAATCAAATAATGACCTTCGAAAATCAAAAATTTTGCAGAAATGACGAGGAATAATATATAATGTATAATATATATATATATATATATATATATATATTATATATATATATATATATATATAAATATATATATATATATATATATATATATTATACATTATATATTATTCCTCGTCATTTCTGCAAAATTTTTGATTTTCGAAGGTCATGTATATATATATATATATATATATATATATATATATATATATATATATATATATATATATATATATATATATACTAAAAATTATTTCTAAAATAATAATAATATTTTTTATTTATTAAGCATATTAAATTCTATTGAAATTATGATAAAATGCTATTAGAAAATGTGCATTTGACTGCAAGTCACACTAGAATGAAACAGTTTTGTGTTTTATAAAAAATATTTATTTTAATTTATAAATTGAAATTTTTTAGAATATATACTTATATAGTAATATGGCATCAGATTGGAAGTTTTCACGAACTGACAAAAATAAATACAGTTTTGGAAAAAAAATCTTTAAGCATTGTATTTTTTGGTCTTTTGTATTCAATATCCTTTGTTATAATGGAATTCTTTAACTCATTTTAATATTTTGATATTTGATGCAGTAAATCCTCTTGAGTCCTTAATATAAGGGGGACGGAATTGTAGTCCAGATCTAATAAACGGGGGAGTTTTGATAAAAGGAGGAGGTGGGAAATGGGATGGATTTTTTCTTTCATGCATAATCAATTATGCATGAACCCCCCCCCCCTTTTTTAATTAAAACTTCCTTGTTTATTAGATCTGGACTCAAGAGCATGTACTGCACCAAACAAGTTTTAATAAATAAAACATTATTTCAGGCAATAATTCCACTCTCTAAGACTGACAGCAGATTATATAGAAGTATAGATACTTTTGATTTTAGAGGAATTGTGCCATTAGGATAAAGTGGGACAGGTATGGGGTGAAGTGGGACAAGCGAGTAATTAATGAAATATTAACAAAAATTATTATTTAAAAACTGTTAAAATTGTAAACCATTTTTTCTTTTTTAGTTATTGCAGTAAAAGTGGATATATTAATCAAAAAAACTTTATTGAATTTTAAAATTAATTTAATAAGTTTCGTACAAAAGTGGATGGAAAAAAGCATTGTTATTTTTGAGCTATTGTAGTTTCTCCAAACCAAAAAATAAAAAAAAAAAAAGGAAACCCACACACTCAAAACGCCACATTACTCTCATAACATCACTATATTATTTGATAGTTTATGAGGAAACCTCCTGCTAAAACGTTTATGAAGGAACCTTCTTCTAAAAAGGCTGCAATCAAAAATATAGTCAGCGTTAAGCAGAAGTCAAAAAAAGATAAATCGGTCAAAAAAAATAATAAAGAAGTCTTTCTATCTGATTCTGATCACCCAACATCATTTAGTGGTTTTATTCTAAACATTATTTAGTGGTTTTATTCTAAAAAGTAACGGATAAAGACTTATGTTGAGTTTGTACAGCTGATTGGGGAGAAGCAAATGAAGATTGGCTTGAACGTTTAAGTTGTAATCCGTTGGCATATGAAGGATGTTTTGGAGTTGATACATGTGCAAATAGAGTGAAAGGAGTTATAAATTCTTAAATTAACCTATAATATCAGTTTCACTGTTATGTAGTCATATAATATTTGTTAACGCTTTAACACTCTATTTTGTGCGCTACCACACAAAATACCACAAAAAAAAAATAATCAAATTGGTTTTGATTTATGTTTTTTGCCCATTTAGACATTTTAGAGATCAGGAAACTGACTTTAAGTAATTTTATCTTGATAACATTAACAGAGGTGTACTATTCTAGATTAAGTAGATATTCCTATTATTACCTCAGAAATGATGTTTTATATTAAAGTTTTTTTTCTCCTAGGTAAACTGCTTTTACCACAACTAAAGAATTTCGTTTGTCATTGATTTAAAAAAAAAAACTTTAGTGTGCATTGCCAAGGCTACATTTGGAGCCCTTTGATACGGTTTAGGGTTTGTTAATAGTAATGACCTATTAAAAAGTGTAATAAGTATTATCTATGCTTCCAATCAAGTTCTTTAACAAATTTAATGAATTAAGAACCAAAAATTTTAAAACAAAAAAAAATAATTGTTATCACCAAGTTCTCTAAACCTATCATTCACTAATATTTGTGGTTTTCGAAATAACTTTTCTTCTGTTGAGTCTTATCTCTTGCAATGTTCACTAGACCTACTTGCTCTTTGTGAGACTAATTTGTGTTTAGCTGTCTCATCTTGTGATCTTATTGTTGATGGTTATCTTCTTTTAATTCATAAAACATTTGTAAGAATTAACTTATTTGTCGGGCAACTATGTCTGAATCCAGACTATTCTTTTATGTGCTTGCATTCTTTCCACTTCACTCTATCGCTTTTCTCTTTGTTATATATCGTTCTCCTTCATCTCAAGACTGCTCTCTTCTTGATGTTATTTCTGATCATATTGACCAAGCCCTCTCTCTTTATCCATCAGCCAATATAGATGTTGTCTGTGTCTTTAATGCTCATCACACTGAATAGCATGGCTCTAGTGTCAGTGACTCTGCAGGCATTAAAGGCTTTCTCAACACCTAACTCAAACAGTCAACTTTCCGAATCGTTTTTCAGACAACCCGAATCATTTACCTTCTCTACTCAACTTATGTCTTGTTTCTAGTCAGTGCTCAGTTTCTCCACATTCACCTTTAGGTGCTTTCAGGGATGCGGAGTCCCAAAAAGGATTTCGGATTTGAAAGTCACAAAAAGATTACTCTATCCTAGTTTTTGGTATCCAGGAGTTCTAAAAATATAAATAAGTTTATGGACAACTAATAGGAAAAAAATTAAGACTTTTAGGTTAAAGGAACAATGATTTTTTGAACCCGGAGTCCTTAGGTATAATGGACTCCGGGTATAAAAACAATAAGTTTCAAGTCATTAAATCTCATCAATTTTTTTCTTATTGCAGATCATGAATTTTTTTCTTATAGCAGATATATAAGTCAACAAACATGTTTAGAACTTTGGGACACCACATACTTGGAAAAAGTAGAAATATAAAGCCGGAGTCCTTTTAAGACTCCTCATCCCTGGGTACTTCTGATCACAGTTTGATCTCTTTAAAACTATTATCTCATCCTTCTTCATTATCTGAATCTCCCTATCATTGTACCTCTTACAACTACCTTAAAGCTGACTTGGACTCTTTCCATGATTTTCTTCGTTATGGCCTTTGGGTAGAAATCTTTTGTCTTCCTGTTGACTAATGTGGTTCTTGCATAACTTCGTGGATTCAGGCTGGCATGGAATTTTTTATTACCTCTCAACAATTCCAGGTCAAGCCTTACTCCTCACCAGGGTTTTCCTCATATTGTGCTGCTGCAATTGCTAATCAAAACCATTACTTCCATATCCATAAGCAATAATACTTGTTAAATATTAAAAAATAATACTCTTGTCTACCAAACCTTATATTATATATTTTACAGAATAAATAATATTAAAAAGAATAATAGTTGTTAAACATTCAGGAAATAAAAAAACAAAAAAAGGTTATGGCTAAAAGAAACTATATATAGTTAGTCTTTCTAGCATCCTGAATATACCCATTATATGTCAGATTTTTTAAAAAGAAAAGAAGTCAAAAATTTAAATAGTACAACTTAAAAAGAACTTTCAAAACGAATAGAAAAGATATTTTACGTTAAATTTAAAGTATTGGCAGGTGTTCGTGTCCAAATCTTACAAAACAAATAGCGGATACTAATTAGCAAAAAAAAAAAAAAAATCTGGACATTGAAATTGAAAATTTTAAACAAAATGTAATTAAGTAGTTTCAAAATTGAAGGCTAATTATGAACATTCCAATGAAAGTTATGCCAGA